TATACGGACAGTAAAGTCTGTGTATGTGACAGTATATATTGTATATAGGATGGTAAAGTCTGTGTATGTGACAGTATATATTGTATATAGGATGGTAAAAGTCTGTGTATGTGACAGTATATATTGTATATAGGATGGTAAAGTCTGTGCATGTGACAGTATATATTGTATATAGGATGGTAAAGTCCGTGCATGTGACAGTATATATTGTATATATGATGGTAAAGTCTGTGTATGTGACAGTATATATTGTATATATAGGATGGTAAAATCTGTCTGTGTATGTGACAGCACATATTGTATAGAGGATGGTAAAGTCTGTGTATGTGACAGTATATATTGTATATAGGATGGTAAAGTCTGTGCATGTGACAGTATATATTGTATATAGGATGGTAAAAGTCTGTGTATGTGACAGTATATATTGTGTATAGGACAGTAAAAGTCTGTGTATGTGACAGTACATATTGTTTATAGGAAGGTAAAGTCCGTGTAAGTGACAGTACATATTGTGTATAGGATGGTAAAATCTGTGTATCTGACAGTACATATTGTGTATAGGACGGTAAAAGTCCGTGTATGTGACAATACATATTGTGTATAGGACAGTAAAGTCTGTGTATGTGACAGTACATATTGTGTATAGGACGTAAAAGTCCGTGTATGTGACAATTATATCATATTGTGTATACGACGGTAAAGTCCAGTCTGTGTATGTGACAGTATATATATGTATATAGGGATGGTAAAGTCCGTGTACGTGACAGTATATATTGTATATAGGATGGTAAAGTCTGTGTATGTGACAGTATATATTGTATATAGGATGGTAAAAGTCTGTGCATGTGACAGTATATATAGGATGGTAAAGTCTGTGCATGTGACAGTATATATTGTATATATGATGGTAAAGTCTGTGTATGTGACAGCATATATTGTATATACGATGTAAAGTCTGTGTATGTGACAGTATATATTGTATAGGGATGGTAAAGTCTGTGTATGTGACAGTATATATTGTATATAGGATGGTAAAAGTCTGTGCATGTGACAGTATATATTGTATATATGGATGGTAAAGTCTGTGTATGTGACAGTACATATTATGTGTATAGGACAGTAAAGTCTGTGTATGTGACAGTACATATTGTTTATAGGAAGGTAAAAAGTCCGTGTAAGTGACGGTACATATTGTGTATAGGATGGTAAAATCTGTGTATCTGACAGTTACATATTGTGTATAGGACAGTAAAGAATCGTGTATGTGACAGTACATATTGTGTATAGGACAGTAAAAGTCTGTGTAAGTGACAGTACATATTGTGTATAGGACAGTAAAAGTCCGTGTATGTGACAGTACATATCATATTGTGTGTATACGACAGTAAAGTCTGTGTATGTGACAGTATATATTGTATATAGGATGGTAAAGTCTGTGTATGTGACAATTACATATATATGTATATAGGATGGTAAAGTCTGTGTATGTGACAGTATATATTGTATATAGGATGGTAAAAGTCGTTGTATGTGACAGTATATATTGTATATAGGATGGTAAAAAGTCTGTGTGATGTGACAGTATATATTGTATATAGGATGGTAAAGTCTCTGTGTATGTGACAATATACATATTGTGTATAGGACAGTAAAAGTCTGTGTATGTGACAGTACATATTGTTTATAGGAAGGTAAAAAGTCTGTGTATGTGACAGTACATATTGTATATAGGATGGTAAAGTCTGTGTATGTGACTGTACATACATAGTGTATAGGACAGTAAAAAAGTCTGTGTATGTGACAGTACATATTTTGTGTATAGGACAGTAAAGTCTGTGTATGTGACAGTACATATTGTGTATAGGACGGTAAAGTCTGTGTAAATGACAGAACATATTGTGTATAGGGTGGTAAAGTCTGTGTATGTGACAGTACATATTGTGTATAGGACGGTAAAGTCTCTGTGTAAGTGACAGTACATATTGTGTATAGGATGGTAAAGTCTGTGTATGTGACAGTACATATCATATTGTGTATAGGACAGGTAAAGTCTGTGTAAAGTGACAGTACATATTGTGTATAGGACAGTAAAGTCCGTGTATGTGACAGTTACATATTGTGTATAGGACAGTAAAGTCTGTGTATGTGACAGTACATATTGTGTATAGGACAGTAAAGTCCGTGTATGTGACAGTATTATCATGTTGTGCATAGGACAGTAAAAATCCGTGTATGTGACAGTACATATTGTGCATAGGACGGTAAAATCTGTATATGTGACAGTACATATTGTTGATAGGACGGTAAAGTCTGTGTATGTGACAGTACATATCATATTGTGTATACGACGGTAAAGTCAGTGTAAGTGACAATACATATTGTGTATAGGACGGTAAAGTCCGTGTATGTGACAGTACATATTGTGTATACGACGGTAAAGTATGTGTATGTGACTGTACATATTGTGTATAGGACGGTAAAGTCTGTGTATGTGACTGTACATATTGTGCATAGGATGGTAAAGTCTGTGTATGTGACAGTACATATTGTGCATATGATGGTAAAATCCGTGTATGTGACAGTACATATTGTGCATAGGACGGTAAAGTCTGTGTCTGTGACAGTACATATTGTGCACAGGATGGTAAAGTCCGTGTATGTGACAGTACATATTGTGCATAGGACGGTAAAGTCTGTGTATGTGACAGTACATATTGTGTATAGGATGGTAAAGTCTGTGTATGTGACAGTACATATTGTGCATAGGACGGTAAAGTCTGTGTATGTGACAGTACATATTGTGTATAGGATGGTAAAGTCTGTGTATGTGACAGTACATATTGTGTATAGGACGGTAAAGTCTGTGTTAGTGACAGTTCATATTGTGTATAGGACGGTAAAGTCCGTGTATGTGACAGTACATATCATATTGTGTATACGACGGTAAAGTCAGTGTATGTGACAGTACATATTGTGTATAGGACAGTAAAGTCTGTGTATGTGACTGTACATATTGTGCATAGGATGGTAAAGTCCGTGTATGTGACAGTACATGCTGTGCATATGATGGTAAAATCCGTGTATGTGACAGTACATATTGTGCATAGGACGGTAAAGTCTGTGTATGTGACAGTACATATTGTGCATAGGATGGTAAAGTCCGTGTATGTGACAGTACATATTGTGCATAGGACGGTAAAGTCTGTGTATGTGACAGTACATATTGTGCATAGGATGGTAAAGTCCTCGTATGTGACAGTACATATTGTGTATAGGACGGTAAAGTCTGTGTATGTGACAGTACATATTGTGCATAGGACGGTAAAGTCTGTGTATGTGACAGTACATATTGTGTATAGGATGGTAAAGTCCGTGTCTGTGACAGTACATATTGTGTATAGGACGGTACAGTCTGTGTATGTGACAGTACATATTGTGTATAGGACAGTAAAGTCTGTGTATGTGACAGTACATATTGTGTATGTGTATGTGACAGCACATATTGTGTATAGGACGGTAAAGTCAGTGTATGTGACAGTACATATTGTGTATAGGACAGTAAAGTCTGTGCATGTGACAGTGCATATTATGTATAGGATGGTAAAGTCTGTGTATGTGACTACATATTGTGTATAGGACGGTAAAGTCTGTGTATGTGACAGTACATATTGTGCACAGGATGGTAAAGTCCGTGTATGTGACAGTACATATTGTGCATAGGACGGTAAAGTCTGTGTATGTGACAGTACATATTGTGTATAGGATAGTAAAGTCTGTGTATGTGACAGTACATATTGTGCATAGGACGGTAAAGTCTGTGTATGTGACAGTACATATTGTGTATAGGATGGTAAAGTCTGTGTATGTGACAGTACATATTGTGTATAGGACGGTAAAGTCTGTGTTAGTGACAGTTCATATTGTGTATAGGATGGTAAAGTCCGTGTATGTGACAGTACATATCATATTGTGTATACGACGGTAAAGTCTGTGTATGTGACAGTACATATTGTGTATAGGACGGTAAAGTCTGTGTATGTGACTGTACATATTGTGCATAGGATGGTAAAGTCCGTGTATGTGACAGTACATGCTGTGCATATGATGGTAAAATCCGTGTATGTGACAGTACATATTGTGCATAGGACGGTAAAGTCTGTGTATGTGACAGTACATATTGTGCATAGGATGGTAAAGTCCGTGTATGTGACAGTACATATTGTGCATAGGCCGGTAAAGTCTGTGTATGTGACAGTACATATTGTGCATAGGATGGTAAAGTCCTCGTATGTGACAGTACATATTGTGGATAGGACGGTAAAGTCTGTGTATGTGACAGTACATATTGTGCATAGGACGGTAAAGTCTGTGTATGTGACAGTACATATTGTGTATAGGATGGTAAAGTCCGTGTCTGTGACAGTACATATTGTGTATAGGACGGTACAGTCTGTGTATGTGACAGTACATATTGTGTATAGGACAGTAAAGTCTGTGTATGTGACAGTACATATTGTGTATGTGTATGTGACAGCACATATTGTGTATACGACGGTAAAGTCAGTGTATGTGACAGCACATATTGTGTATACGACAGTAAAGTCTGTGCATGTGACAGTGCATATTATGTATAGGATGGTAAAGTCTGTGTATGTGACTACATATTGTGTATAGGACGGTAAAGTCTGTGTATGTGACAGTACATATTGTGTATAGGACGGTAAAGTCTGTGTATGTGACTGTACATATTGTGTATAGGACGGTAAAGTCAGTGTATGTGACAGTACATATTGTGTATAGGACAGTAAAGTCTGTGTATGTGACAGTACATATTGTGTATAGGACTGCACACACCGAGTGTAAGACTGTGCAAACTGTACAGGACCGTACCCGCTGTAGGTAAATATATAATGTATTACATCGACGTATATATGAATGAAGACATGGACAAAGTTGAAGCATGAGACGTCAAGGAGTCGCGAAATGCATTACACAAGTACCTGACGCTGCAACAGTTTGCCATCACGTGACTTATTATCTGGGCATCCCTGTTCTTGTGCACTGAGTGAGTCCTGCAGTCATTTTCTTCAGACACTGATTTAGCCAGGTGAGCAAAGTCGAATCTTGCTTTCCTGTTTTCTTCGTCAAAACCTGCAAGCGAGTGGACCAAGTTCGATTAATATGTTTGTCATGGAAAAGGAATGAAGACTTCTACAAGTAATTAAGCGTTCAACAAACATATATATCATATGATACACTGTGTTGGGTTCAAAGTAACATTGTGCCATTCCAAACAGTACTTTTCTGAAACCTGTACATATATCAGTGGAAGAGTATGTTTAGTCGTTTCCTGGGAGTAGCAATGTAGCATAAGCTTCCCATCTGAAGGAGTGCGTCCATGTGTCAAGCCCTATTGTATATTATTATCGGTAGCAAGTCCCAAAACCTCTCATATAATCCTTTTAGTAATTCTTAGCCCCACGCAGAAGGTTTTCTTGCTGTTCAGTTCTGTTACATGGTGATTTATCCCATCATGTATGTCTATCCATATAACGATAGAGACAAACAGCAGCTTTCAACCTCATTCACTACTATTTACATCCGCTGGTCTAAAACACATTCCTCCTTTTGCTGTTTCATAACGAGACAAATTTTGAGGAATGCTATTTATGATAAAAAAAACACGTTTAGAGATCCCCCCAAAAAGATAAGGCGACACTGCAGAATATTTCTTATTAAGAAAACCTTTGTATGTTTGTATACTAGTATTTGATAGCGTACTGGGCGTTTGTAGAATCTTCTGTTAACTGAGAGGAGGCTACCTTGCTGGGCTGCATTGTAGGGTTTGGAAGATGCTGACAGGTCCATGGCCAGGGTGCCTGCTGAAGATGGTGGTGCCCGCCATTGAGACCAGGTGCTGACGGTGTAGCTGCTGACATACTGAGACGGTGCCGTGTAGAAACGCTGACCATGGAGGTCCGTATGTAACGAGGGTGTTGATGGAGTGGTAGTCCATGGGTAGATTGGCACAGGAACGCATAGAGATGGATACTGGGGAACCGGCATCGCTATCACACCTGCCATAATTCAGGCTTTTGGGAACCTTCAACAATGTCATTGTAAAATTAATAACGTCATGATATCGTCTACACATGAACCACGTATGGCAAGTGAACAGTACTGGGTATTTTATCTTGTCTTCTCCAAAATCTTGATATGTCGATGGAATATTTTAAACACACGTACCCATTTCCATTTCCATCGCAACTCGTGAAGTTAACGACTTGGAACTACGTAAGCGGTATTTATACCAAATACTTTGAAACGTTCGCGGTGATTTATTCAAAGATAATACCATGCAAGGCTGTTTTCGCCTAACTATACTCCTCACCAAAAGTTCAGCAACACAAATTACATTTTCTCATACATTTTCATTTATTGAAATTGCAAATCATGGGATGATGCAATAGAAAGGTGAAACATATGTACACACGATTAACAAAATGAAATGAAATGGTATTGAGCAATAATAGACTTACAAATCATCAAAAGCATGTACCCGTTAAACAGTCGTGCAACATGTGCTGCATTGATGGAGTAAAATGTTAACATTAAGGTTCAAGTCAGTTTTGGACAGTGAAGCAGTGTTCAGTAACGTGTATGACCACCATGAGCACAAATGCAAGCTTCTACACGTCTTTGCATTGACCAAATGAGCCTTTAAAGTTGCTGTGGTGGATTGATCTGCCATTCTCTCTGTAACGCCTGCTCAAGGTCATACAGAGTCTGGAGGTGAACATGGGCATGGTAAACACGACTTCCAATAATGTGCCAAGCATGTTCAATGGGATTCAGATCAAGTGACCTTGCAGACCAGTCCATATGTGTGATGTTGTTGATCTAAACAATATCGTTAACAACTCTTTCTCGGGCATTATCATCCATAAACGGGCAGCATCATCCATAAAAATGGAGTTAGGACCCGTTTGTTGTACCAGAGGAATGATCACAGGCAGGTTTACACCGATCAGGGTGCATGGGTGAAATGTGGAGAACATTCATGCCACACATTCTGCATGTTGGTTCTGAGGGTGGTTGTGTTCGGGTGATGTTGTCAATGTTATCAAATGATAAATCAATTTGACAGTCGCTAAAGGTTATGTATTCTTTGATTATGTACCTTTCAGTAACATGTCGGCAAAATCGCTATCGAGATTGATAAAGATATTACACTGAAAATACTTGTTGCTTAATGTTTTGTGAGGAGTACATATTTACATACATACATGAAAATAATGATACTAAAAGAAGGTCCTTTCCTCCCTAGTCAAGCTGACACACCTTGATATATTAAATACTGTTCAAAGCTACGCAAACCTGAACTCACCGACTCTCTCACTAACAGCCACTCGCTCGCTCTCTGATTCATTGAAAAAACTGATACAGGACATAGAATGATCCGCATGTGCCGAGTGTACATGGACAGGATCAGTCATAATGCACTGCATTTCTCGAAATAGAAATAATCATAATATGTGCAATACAAGTTCTTGTATTGATACTTATGTCTCTCCGTTTTTAACAAATCTCTAATTCTGCTTCGTCCTTGGTCTTAAGAATGATGTGAGATTGCTGATGAACATCAACATAACAGCCACGCCTGTATACGACCTGTTTCAAACAATGAAACAATCTGATGTATATCCATCCTTCAATAACTCCTCCTCAGTTACTAAATTTACACATCTATTAACACACCAGACATAGTCCATCTCCTCTGTGATACAGTTACAAACATGTATAAACGACGTCAATCATTATCTTAAATATTATACACTACTTGTATCTTAGTTTTAAATGTATTAATATTCTACTCTTTCATTCATTAACACTAGGGTGTGTGAATGTTAGGCATTGTAACAGCAGTACGAATGTACGTAACTATATTGTACTTCATTGTATTGTTTGTATTGTGTTAATGATATTGTGTGCAGGGTATCTGTATTCTGCATACTAGTATATGTGGGTATTCAATGTATGATTATAATACATGTATATTTATGTGTATGTATGTATGTGTGTATGTGTGTATGTATGTATGTATGTATGTATGTATGTATGTATGTATGTATGTATGTATGTATGTATGTATGTATGTATGTATGTATGTATGTATGTGTGTGTGTGTGTGTGTGTGTGTGTATGCGTGCGTATATTGGGTATGTATGTGTGTGTGTGCATGCATGCATATGTGTCTATGTGTGTATGTGGGTGCATGTGTGTATACGTGTATTAGGTCTGAATGTATGTGTGTGTGTATGCATGCATGCAAGCATGCATGTATGCGTGTATGCGTGTATGCGTATATTATGTGCGGTTGTATGCTGTTTTGTATATGTGATTTTATGTTTGTTTGTATGTATGTTTGTTGTATATATGTTATGTATGTATGCATACCTGTACGTGTTAACTTCAAATGTATACGATTTTACGTGTGCTGATATTTGTTGGTTCACAATGTTTTTATTGATTTTATATAGTCTCCCATAACCTAACGGGTGGTTTCTGTACTATTAACTTTTGTACAAAACGCATGCATTTTATGACAATGTACAGAAAGTGAGACTCAAATAAACATTATCTCTCTCTCTGTATTAATCATCGAGACAAAAAGTCGCTGTATGGAGCAAGTGGATCTCACAGAGCTAAAATGTTCTTTTATGTGAGGAAATAGTTTGTTAAGTTTCATGATGTAACGACATATGAAGCGCGGAGATACCTTGGATGGGTGACCATGTTTGTCAGCTTGACTCTTGAGAGTTTCTAGTTGCCTCACAACGAAGGAATGTGGTCCCACCTTAGGCAAGTGAGTTTGTTACAAATTGCCTCTGTTCAACCAGAAGAAAATGGGTTCCCGGTGGGGTGATTCATGTGACTATTAACCTTCTAGCGCCTTAAAGGCAGCTTGGGTTATCCGGGGTAATAATAATCAGATTGTGATTGTCATCACTTTGAGCGTTGCCCATGTGTGGTGGAAGTCAGCACTATACAAATACTCTTATTATTATTATTATTATTTATACAGATGAAATGGTCGATCTCACCATTTAATATTTTGTTTTTCCAAATGTCAATGATTGAATGAAATGATTTAAAAGCATTCTTGTGGTAAATAAGCCTACATGATCTTTTGTCTGATTAATCAGTGGTCGAAAGTTATTTTAACTTTATCATTGTTTTTGGATCCCGTTATATTTTGTGGAATACTTGAATGACATCACCAGCAAACAATAACATGATTATCTGGAAACAACTGCACCTACTGTTAAGGTGTAGTTGATGGTTCGCTCATAAACAAGGAGAATAACACAGGTGGTAACATAGAGCGCTGCCCAAGACCAGTCGGATGATATAAAAGTTATAACTTCTACCGCCTCGGTGGTGTAGTGGTTAGAGCGTCCGCCCGGAGAGCGGAAGGTCGCGGGGTCGATCCCCGACCGCGTCATACCAAAAGACGTTAAAATATGGTACTTGTTGGTCCCTGTCTGGCGCTCGGCATTAATGGGTACAACAAGGACTGGTCGGCTCGGAGTCAGTATAATGTGTCTGAGTAGGGTATTCATGCTTCACTGCGGCATGGTATCTCAATTGGCTAGCACTATAAAACCAGCTTCGGTCTGGGCTAGTACAAGCAGGCGCACATACACATACACACGCATGCACGTCGTCATATGAGCAAAATATTCTCAAGCACGACCTTAAACCCAATTTCACCTAACATCACCTAGTAACTTCTATGATTTAGGGAGCCAGTGAGTTAAGTCTTACGCCACCTTTAGCAATATTCCAGCAATATAACAGCGGAGGACACACATTATGCTTTCACACATTGTACCGATGTGTGGAATCGAACCAGGGTCTTTGGCGTCACGACCGACCGCTTTAACGATTAGGCTACCCCCTTTCCCTCTATGATTTAGAGACCGTACTTCATACTTGTGGTCATTTAGATCTAGAGAGACCATGTCTCATACATTGTGTGATCAGAAATAAACCCACATTTCATATGGTTATTCAGAGAGAGCACATCTCTTATCTATGGTGATTCAGAGTGAAAGCATCGCAAACCGCCGATTAAGAGAGACCATGTCTCAAACCTCTAGTGATTTAGGTACGCCCACACTCCCATCTACTAGAACTATCCAACGCAACACACGACCACCAACCCCTCACCCCGATCTGTGTGTGGTTTGTATGCCCATACCCTCTCTATCTGTGTGTGCCTTGTACGAACGTCAATACTCCTGCTTATTTGTGTGTGTCTGGTACGTCCATATTCTCCCTATCTGTGTGTGTCTGGTACGTCCATACCCTCCATATGTGTGTGTGGCTTGTACGGCCATATTCTCTCCATCTGTGTGATACCTAAAACGTATGACTGGCACGCCGCTAGCCACCTATCTGCGTAACAGGTAGTCTTATCTCTTTCGAAGTCATTACAAGCTTGCTTGTCGTGGGAAAACAATACCCTCCATTGTCCCCCTCCCTCCTCACTATCAATTCCGCCCCCCATTTCCCCCCTCGGTCACCCCACCGCTCCCTCCTCGTCTGTAACATATCGAATTCGGGGGGCGGGTACCCATTGCCCATTTTCGTGCGACCCAACTATACACTGCCTCGAGGGCCAAGTAAAGGCTGCGCTACCCAGATAAGTGGCGCTTCCGAAATACGAAATATTCAGTATGATAAAGTGGATCTGTTCCACATCAAAGGAACCTTTTCAGACATTGCATGGGCGTCCATGTGTGGCAATATGTTATATTGAGGGTTAATAAAGTATGTATATATAACATAAATTCTTGAGGTTTTGTCTAATATAGTCAATCATGTCTGAAAACTTTAATTTCACTGTGTTGCAACCTGATTACAACTTCATGTGGTTCAGCACATAACGTGACCAACAATAAAAGACAATGTATGTACTTCCATACATTGAGAAATATCTTATAACTATATCCAAAACACAACAGTAAGAATAATTACACAATTTCGTTTCTGCAGGTTTACTTCAATAAGAAAGAGTTCAGTTTCATATGATTTAAAATGTACGTCTGTGATGGCGACCAGAAGAGTTTAAACTGATACCTATATACACACAAAGCAGCCCCAGTGCATTTGTACGAAGAATAAAACCCGAAAGACTGCCGTGGTCGGACAATGAATATAACCAAATATTCATTAACCACGTTAATTAATCGTGTTGGTATCAGTGTATCTCTGTGCACAACGTAAGCAGGTGCTTGTTAAGCAATACACCACATGGACGAAAGGTACTGAGTTACATTGCAGATTGGCCGAAACGACTACATGACTAGGACATAAGACATGCGTTTACAGGACATTGTGGCTGCCGATGTCCTTAGAGCATAGAAATAAATCGCGTATTTTAAGGTCATCTTAACTGATAGCGTCATATTATCTAACCGACTTTACTGTAAGACAAGTTATTTGTACGTGATGTCCGACTTTCTCTCTCTACAATGTTCCAGCTGACAGTTATGGAAATGCTATATGAGAACTTAACCAAGTGGATAAAAAGCGATAAGATTTTCTGAATAATGTTTAACCAGGGAAGTTCTTTTATTGACTGCTTCTCGTCAAGTTTTTTTGGTAATGTAATACCTTCTTTCTCACAATAACTGCCTTTCGTTGATCAGTAGATTTGCATGCTGCTTACATACCTGTACTTCACTGTCGTCCAGAATAGCGTCCACAATAAATGCAGTAAATGGACATAGTAAGGAAAGGGTAGTGATGGCCTACTGTTCGGTCTGTTTGCTGTGGTAGGCAGTGCTGCCCCACGCCGCGTCTCGCTGTCAACTCTTCCCTGTCCCTCCACTAAAACAATGCAATTGGAATTCCACACTAGAAACATGATATGCCCGCTCATGAAAGTACAAGTGGCTGTCGGAGCCCGCAATTAATGTTTAATCAGAATACACGGTTGGGTCTGGCACGATATGACAGTGCAGGGGGATAGGCCGGGACCCCTCATTCTCCCTACGTCCATCCCGTCTGGCCCCACCCACTCCTCCTGACGTCAAGATAATGTGTGCTGGGCTCGTTGCATTCCTTATTTCAGTGGTCATACGACACGGTTAAACCCACCCAAAGTACTTTTCGTTACTGCGCATACCAACCTGATGCTTTTCCTTTTGTGGAAAAACGGATACAAGGAAGCACAATTAGTCCGGAAATCATGCTTTCCAGACAATACCCGTTAGGAACCTTTTCCAAAATACAGCGATCATTGTCATTTTAAATAATGTGGCCTATGTACCTAAAACATTTGTACCTTATAACAGTTTTAAGCATTTTTGTTTTCCTTTTCAGTTTAAACCATGTTCTCAGGTGGATTTTGCATTATAAACACTCGTGTGGTGTAATAAAACCATGTACATAGCAACGGAATTATTATGACAAGTTAAGAAAATTTATTGTGATAAATATTTATGATCTACTTTGGTAGTAGCAATTCCATTATACACAATGCAGTTTTGTTGATGCAGGGAATGACTCGTGATTCAGGGAATTGTGACACTGACACAGAATTCAATTAGTGGTGAAGTCTGAGACGAAATGCAATGACTTGGGAACGTGGTGCATCGAGATGGGAATACTGACACTTTTGATGCGTTAGTCAACTAGTGAAGACTACTGACGCGTTAGGCAATTAGTGGAGAATACTGATGTGTGTCAACTAGTGGGGAATACTGAACACGTGATTAAACGAGTGGAGAATATTGATGCGTGAGTCAACTGGTGGAGAATACTGATGTGTGTCAACTAGTGGGGAATACTGAACACGTGATTAAACGAGTGGAGAATATTGATGCGTGAGTCAACTGGTGGAGAATACTGATGTGTGTCAACTAGTGGGGAATACTGAACACGTGATTAAACGAGTGGAGAATATTGATGCGTGAGTCAACTGGTGGAGAATACTGATGTGTGTCAACTAGTGGAGAATACTGAACACGTGATTAAACGAGTGGAGAATATTGATGCGTGAGTCAACTGGTGGAGAATACTGATGTGTGTCAACTAGTGGGGAATACTGAACACGTGATTAAACGAGTGGAGAATATTGATGCGTGAGTAAACTGGTGGAGAATACTGATGTGTGTCAACTAGTGGAGAATACTGATGCGTGAGTCAACTAGTGGAGAATACTGATGCGTGAGTCAATAAGTGGAGAATACTGATGCGTGAGTCAACTAGTGGAGAATACTGATGCGTGAGTCAATTAGTGGAGAATACTGATGCGTGAGTCAACTAGTGGAGAATACTGATGCGTGAGTCAATTAGTGGAGAATACTGATGTGAGTCAACTAGTGGAGAATACTGATGCGTGAGTCAACTAGTGGAGAATACTGATGCGTGAGTCAATTAGTGGAGAATACTGATGTGTGTCAACTAGAGGAGAATACTGATGCGGGAGTCAACTAGTGGAGAATACTGATGTGTGTCAACTGGTGGATGGAGAATACTGATGCGTGATTAAAAGATTGGAGAATACTGATGCATAAGTCTACCAGTGGAGACTCGGGAATGATTAAACGAGATATGAATACTGACTCGTTTACTGCACGTTGCTGTACCCGCAATTAGGTGTTTGCACGTTTTCATGTGACCAGCATCTGGTCATTTACCAACGGATTCGTGTGTTCTTTTGAGTGCACAGGGTTGTATACTGTACACTAGGGGTTGTGACAACACTGAAAGAGACTGCACTCAAAGTTGACACAAAGATTTTTACAACCGGTCACAAGTGGGCTCGATTCCGGCATCTTATGCTCGCTGAATCACGAGCCTGGCGCCTTATACAGCTGGTCCCGCACGCCCCACATGCGTGATGCAGTAAGTTTAAATTATTGAGTCAACGACTTGGGAACTCTGGCGCAGGATGCAACAATATGAAATAGTGTAACAGGGTTCAAATACTTGGGATCTCCGGCGCAGGATGCAACAATATGGAATAGTGAAACAGGGTTCAAACACTTGGGATCTCTGGTGCAGGATGCAGCAATATGGAATAGTGAAACAGGGTTCAAATACTTGGGATCTCCGGCGCAGGATGCAACAATATGGAATAGTGAAACAGGATTCAAATACTTGGGATCTCTGGCGCAGGATGCAACAATATGGAATAGTGAAACAGGATTCAAATACTTGGGATCTCTGGCGCAGGATGCAACAATATGGAATAGTGAAACAGGATTCAAACACTTGGGATCTCTGGCGCAGGATGCAACAATATGCAATAGTGAAACAGGATACAAACACTTGAGATCTCTGGCGCAGGATGCAACAATATGGAATAGTGAAACAGGATTCAAACACTTGGGATCTCTGGCGCAGGATGCAACAATATGGAATAGTGTAACAGGATTCAAACACTTGGGATCTCCGGCGCAGGATGCAACAATATGCAATAGTGAAACAGGATTCAAACACTTGGGAGCTCCGGCGCGTGATACAACCATCTGGAAATACTAACACGTGAGCCTTCCCCGAAACGACCACCCCCACACCCCACACCCCACACGCCACACCCCACAATAACCCCCAACCCCACACCCGACCCCGTCTCCCTTTAAATACCTGGAATATTACCTTAATAGGTATGATTGAGATTTAAATACGTATATACATGCAGAATCACTGTTCATTGGGCCATGTATGGGCATATATAGCCTGTTGACTAGAACTTTGCGCACGTTAACAGCTGAGTGAAAGAGCTTTAGTGGGTTTAGCAGGCCAGTATCGCTGGCTTAAAAGCAGCCACTTAACAAGTATTTATTCACACTTGTTCTTGCAAGATCCACAATTTATAGGTAAAGTGGTTGGACAACAACTCGCCTCTTGAAGAAATTTTATCACAAGACAATATCTACACCCGTATATATAGTCCAGTAAGCGCTATACTATACTGACTTGCCATGCTAACTGTTAAGTTGTTTACCTTCATTACAAAATATACAAATACTGGGAGGACATAATCAGGTCTAGGAATGTATGACTAAATGTATTGGCTGACATGGTAAACAGCTGTGCATGAAATGAATCTCTTCTGACAAGATGTTCGTTGACTGCACTTGAGTGACGTTGGTCTCAATGATGACCTTGGGTCTTTCACCTTCTGTCGAACAATAAACACTTGACACTTTCAAGTAAGTGAAAGTTTAGTGGTGAACAACAAAGGCAGACGATAATTAAACCAGTTGCTGCATTAATTAACACAGGGTGGTCGTGATAGTGAATTCATTCAGGTACACGCTTGTGGTGGCCACTCCCAGTCTAAGAGAGCGCGGTAGAGAAATAACCGTTGTGATTAAACCAAGGGTCAGGAAAACTTGACAATTATAAAGTAGTCTAACCTGTCGAATATATAGTGGGAAAAAGAAGTGTTGTGGCCTTCCCTTTGTGCAGCACCATACCAATGTACATGCATAAGGAAGCTTGGGTAGCATTATCATTCGTTCAGCGTTGAGTCCTGACATAATTAACGTATATACTTTTGTCTTGTGGACTTCTGCTATGTTCCGTGTCGTGTTTGTGCCGAGTTGTATGGCACAGTTTTGATCCGCTACGTGTAATGCCCTACCGTTTGTTCATGATAATATATTGTGATTCTGTACTAAAGGTTCTGTGATCGCGAGGAGTTTTGCTAAAGGTATACAAAGGTTTAGGGTCTGTATGATGCCTTACCCCTGTCGAGTTTTGAGGTATATCCGGATGCTTGCGATCTATTAAAACATTCTCTGGTGTTTCCTAATACAACAGGTCGCATATTTTTGTTCGCTATAATTCATCAGCATAACATTATCTTTCTGATTAAAAGTTAGCTGCCTTGGGTATGTAAATAAAATGAGCTGGAGGCCTGTGTTGCATATCGACAGGGAGATTGTAAGTATGAAAGATGACCTATCTTGCATGACAAAAACGCTATATCGGCCTATTATAAACGGCTCCCCGAGATCACTCATACTTCAAGGAAATCCTTAACAGTAGGACAATAATTGACCTTAATGTCTTTTGATATTAATTGTATATGTTAGTGGGCGTTGGCGTATGTTCGATTTTAATGAGAATGTCATAAGAGAAACGATTTGGTGATCGATCACCAGTTAGCCTACTTCCACATGCGTGTAAACATAGCCCAAGGTTACCGACAGTCCTCAAAGTGTTTACCTCTGCGAGTCACTGAGAAGTAGCGTTGCTGAAGTTCAGGTAGAGAACGCCGACGTGCATTCACGTAGGGTATAGGGTGTAGGGTGTAGGGTGTAGGGTGCTATGCATGTCATTATGTGTGTGCGAAAGTGTATTGAACTATAACAGGTTTGTGCTAATGTGCTTGTATGGAGTAAGTGTGCAAGTGGGGTGGAGTGTATATCAATATTTTTGCGTTAATATGTTGTAGGTTGAGTATGTGATGTCGTATGTGTTGAATATTTGGAAGGTGGTGGTGGATAAGGGTTAATATGTGGTGGGTTGAGTCTGTGTTGTGTGTGGAATATTTGGAAGGTGGTGGTGGATAAGGGTTAATATATGGTGGGTTGAGTCTGTGTAGTTGTGTGTGGAATATTTGGAAGGTGGTGGTGGCTAAGGGTTAATATGTAGTGGGTTGAGTCTGTGTTGTGTGTGGAATATTTGGAAGGTGGTGGTGGATAAGGGTTAATATGTAGTGGGTTGAGTCTGTGTAGTTGTGTGTGGAATATTTGGAAGGTGGTGGTGGATAAGGGTTAATATGTAATGGGTTGAGTATGTGTTGTGTGTGGAATATTTAGATGGTGGTGGTGGATAAGGGTTAACATGTAGTTGGTTGAGTCTGTGTTGTGTGTGGAATATTTGGAAGGTGGTGGTGGATAAGGGTTAATATGTGGTGGGTTGAGTTTGTGTTGTGTGTGGAATATTTGGAAGGTGGTGGTGGATAAGGGTTAATATGTGGTGGGTTGAGTCTGTGTGTTGTGTGTGAATATTTGGAAGGTGGTGGTGGATAAGGGTTAATATATGGTGGGTTGAGTCTG